ATCACAGCCAACCACTGAATAGAAATCGCATGAGAGAGAGAAATAAATTATCTAACGCAGGTTGAAGTAGGAGGAAGATATTGCACAAAAGTAAATTTCAAAACTAGTATGACAGCGTGTTTCCGTTGAGGAAATGGGTGGCCTCTGAGGGAAGCCCCAAAGCCATCTCATTATTTGTGGGTTCTATTAAACTCTTTTACCCATCCCCAGAAATACTACTGAGCTTTAAAGAACTTATTCACAAAATTTTCATCTAAAGAAATAAAACTATGAAAAGCTTCTGCTTTCAACAGAGGATGATCTAATTTGGTTTGGGTTGGGTTTTTTCCCCAGCAAGCTGTATTGCAACAAATCACTCTCATTATTGGGTTTTCTTAGTTCGCTAGTTACACACTGAAAATTATACATATCCAGATGTTTATACAGAGTTTTTCATAGCTTAGGTTACCTAAATCATGGTGAAATAGTTTATAGGGTTAAAATCAGACTAGACAAAGCACTGAGACAACCAGGCAACAATTCCACACCATCCAAGTAGGACAGTGGCATTTAGCAGGTATTTTTACCTTCATCCATCTTCATTTTTCTCCTTATCTCCCATTTTTGTAATTGCCTATCCCATCCTGCACAGTAACACACACAGGCTCACCCACTCACTCCCATTTCTTCTCTTGCCAAGAAGAGCATCCTGTGTGGGATTCAGTCATTTGTTGTCCACAGAACTTCTGGTGTGTGTCTCTCTAAATAGCTGACATCTGGAGGAGCTGGATACTACTTATACCCTCCTTAGCACAATCAGATGCTGCTAAAGAACATGACAAAATGCTTCATTTTTAAAATATCTTCTCTCTACCCCCTCTTCTTCTTTCCAACAGGTTTTTTTTTCTGAGAGGCATTCACAGTCCACTACACATAGCGACCAGCTTTCAAAGCCATTGTTCTCGGGTACACAAAGAAATCAATATAAAAGTATACACTGATAACAATCAATTATTTCTGCACTCACTTCTATAACATACTGGTTTTATGAAAAATGTATCACTCTAGAACCCTGCTGCAGAGCTAGGAACACAACTTGGGGCATTTGAGTTCTTTAATTACTAATTCCCTGCTTTCCTCTTCATTATTCAACAGACATTTTAACTTTTATTTCAATTAAAAGAGGAGTTTCCCAAACTACAGAATTTTCTAATTATACAAATGTGTTTCACTCGATGATTGTTTCTGTCTCACTAACAAATAGGGAATCCACAATAACATGATTCTGATCCTATAATTAAAAGAATGAAAGGAATGCAGAAAGGGGAAGATGTTACATGGTTTTCCAGCACACCTCAATTTTGAATAATTGATTTTGCAACAAAAACCACAAATCACTCAGAGCAGGTTTGTTGTTGGCTTTTTTAACATTCTCTCTCACACACATGCCAATCTATTCATGTTCATGTGTAATCTTTACTTCATTCAAAAAATACATTTAGGACATACATGCCTCAGGTCACCCAGACGAAAGAAATACAAACAGCCAGCAAAGTGACAGGTAGCACAGATGCATCTAAACTGATTAAATTGCTGTTGCTAGAAAACACACACTGCAATCTCTTTCCCTTTTGGTTTATTCAAGGTACCCTGTCATTCTTCTCCAATCCTTTCCAAAATGCTCATTAGCAGGTTGAGAGAATTAAGTTAAGTTGACTCACTGATATTAATAGGTCTCTCTAATTCAATAGCAGCATGTTCAGAGAATGCCACCTGCCTTCTCTGTAAGCAAAAGTTACTGAAACACGGCCAACACTTTGCCGAACTGTTTCAAAAGCTAAAATTAGACACACCTGTTTCAACAGTTGTTTCAGCAGCTGGACACTGGGATATGGATCAATAAGATTTACTCACAGTTTTCTCCCCTCAGAGCCAATAGTGTGATTTTGGTCTCTCATCCTGTGTTTAGAGAAATATGTGTTGCCAGGGATACTGTGAATGAATCTAAAGAGGTCAGTGTTTCTCTTCCACATTGCTGGACCTTGCTACAATCCAAGAAAAATTGCTATTCAGTGGACTATGGGATCAAGATATACTGGTCTTAAGCTAGTATTATACAAGGATAAGATCTTGAACCATATTTAAACCAATGCAGTTATAAACTGCAGGTATCATAAAACTGAAGGCTTGTGAGGTTTGTACCCTTCCATTTCCTGCAATGAGTTGTCAATGCTCATAGCTAAGCCAGCAAGTGAATCCTACCAACTTTTCCACTACTGATCTTGAAGTAATCCAAGTAACATCCAGGTAACATTCATAACTCACTTCCCCAGCGTCTAAAGCACAACTGTCCCACCAGTTGTCTTCACGTTCAGTGTGCACCTCCACTGCAGAAACCTATGTCATGTCGGAAAAAACCTCCACTGAGATGTTATAAAAGAACTGACTGTAATGTAAAAGATAAAATAAATTAAATCTTATTGACATTACACTTCATGCATTAGCTGGAGCTGTTTCCAAGCTTCTATATCTGACCAAGTTGCTTGAGAATCCAAATACCTTGTCCTAAAAGATGCAATTCCCTAAAACTGCTGTATTTCACCATCTAGTTCTTTTTGCCTTTTTCCCCGAGGGAAAATCAATTTATAGAGTGCTATCCAGAGCCACTTAACCCAGTGGCAAGCCCTCTGGTGTGAATGTGGGACCACCTGGCAAACAGGATCAGTGAGATAATCCATGTTATGAAGTGTGAAAAACCAGGAATTCCATTAATTTGTTACTAGTAAGAAAAAGACACAAAAGAATTCTCAAGACAATTCTCAAAGTTACAGCTGGCCCTGTAGTCTTTGGGTTCCCATATAATCAGAAGCCATACATTTGTAGACATGCATGCACTCAAGTATGTAAAAGTCAACATCTCCCAGAGCATATGCTCATCTCTATACTCCCCTGGAATGGGCATCTGAGTGTTTCAAAGAAAAGACACACACACACTCATGCATATGAACCCAGATAGGCAGTATGCACATTTGTGGAGGTCATTTATAATGTACAAAAATGTATGCAAGCATACAACCATGGCCACACTGCTCTACAGCCAAGGGAGTAGGTACCTCAGAGCACACGGCACATCATCATGTTCCCATCAAAACACAGTGCAAATTTTCTCTTCTAAAGAGAAAGAGGCAGGGAATGGAGGGAGACTACTTGGCTGTCTAACTAGTAATAAATGCTTGTCAAGTGAGCTTTTGATAGGATATAAGGTACTTGGAGAAGAGGGGCCACCACAATCAAACTGCACAAGTTGAAGTCAAGAGCAGGGAAAACAGAAGAGACAGTGACATGAAGACTTTTCCCCTCTTTCTGGGAAATAATGAACAAATCCTTCAGAGTGATTACTCTGTTACACCTGCTGGCCTTGCTCTCAAGTCTGTACGAGACAAAAGATGCTCCTATCTTCCCTCAGATTAAATGTGCCTTGTAAAAGGCGATCAGAGATTGGCACGATAATTATCTTTCCTCATTAGAAAGCAAGCCCTGGATGTGACTGAATATGACTCCTCTGTCAAGGCTCTTTGTGGGCTGTAATAGTACTCAGCCAGCATCAACGGGCACAACACTTTATGTGAACAAAACAAAGCAACATATCAAGTCATCTTTTTAGTTGCTTTCTCTCTTCTAAGCCTGATGAGTGAGGTGGGAAGGTGCCAAATTCCTTTTTAACTTGTATAAATGCGTCTAAATGTCACAGAAGACCCTTGTTAAGTGAAAAGCTTTCCAAATGTTTTTCTCTCCCATATCTAAAATAGGTTGCTCTTTTTTCTTTTTCTGGTTTGGTGTCAGGGTTTTGGGGTTTGTTTTTTGTTTGTTGTTTTTTTTTTTTTAAAAAAGGCAGACCACTGCCTTTCACCATTTCCAGGGTCAGCCAACTGTAAGGACCCACAGCAGAGCTCCTAGTGTTCTCCTGGAGCATCACACACCATAGCGCATGGTACAGCTTTGCTCATGGAAGCCAGGAAGAAGGGTAAATACTTGGGTAAATACAAGGATGAAAACTCTTCTAACTAGGGCATTAGCAGACCTAAGGGGCCTTCTGTGACAGAACATAAATGCTCTCTCACTTTTTTTTTTTAATGCATTTGAAGCATATGCATTGCTTTTCTATTAGCATGAACCAAAAGACTGACTATTCCTCAAGAGCTCTGACCCCAGCAACTGCAGCACCGCCATGGAAAAGGCAGTGCCGAGGCAAAACATTAGACCTGCCACAGACAGGGCCACTACAACAACTTAATTTAAAAGGGGTGAGTGGTAACAGCTCAAGCTTCCACACTGGTGCTCATGTAGATATGACTCTGGTAGAAATGGCATGCTGAGAAAGATGGGTGATATGGTCAGTCATTATGGGACCTGTGTGGTAACAGATGAGGGCAGACAGCACTGGCTAGTCTACAAAGTGGAGAATTAGGAAGAACTGCATATTCCAACTGTGCTTAGTGGCCTCAATGAATCAGCTACTTCCCTTTTAGAACAACCAACCTGGTCATTTCATCATCCCAAAGGTCACTCCTATCTCCTCAGTCTGGCTCATTCCTTGGTGTTCTCACTTAAAAAGCTCTGGACTACAGATTGCATTTCTGGTCTTACCAGAAAGATGTCAGGAGAAGCATCCCATTTTGTTCTGCAGCCAAGCATAGGGCTCAAAGAAATTATCACATCATGTAGCCTGTTCAACAAAACATGCTGCAAGATGATGTTACTATGCACCAGTAGGAGCAGAACTGAATTAATGCATTACATTGTCCTGCACCACTGTCAAGTGAGATGTGCAGTCCCAAAATGCGATGGCATTTAATAAAAAAAAACTTACTCTTCAAGTCATTGTATAATCTACAAGAACACAGGAAACGCGTATAATCCACAGGACTGCTATAACTCAACCCATAAGAGCAGAGTCAGACACTGAATTTAAGAGACCTGACATCACAGAAGGGGAACCTTGGACACACTGCAAAGGAACCTTCTGCAAGCTACCTGTGCATGTGATTCCACTGCAACCTGACCCATTCTCAGCCTCCTTCCAACACCCAACTCAAGAGAGACCTTCTATACTGGAAAAAAATGAAGTCTCACAAAAGTAATTCTCCTTTTTCACCATCTGCCACAGTCCTGCCTTTTTACAAGCAGAAATGTGGGCCTTTCCATTCCAGGAAGAATCCAGAAGCTCAGACTAGTAAAAGTACCATCCTCTGAAGTCTAAATCTCAGAGCTGGCCCCTCACACGCAACAGGAGTGATTTTTTAATTTTTTTTTTTTTTAAATATAGTAGTGTTTCTTTTATTTGCTTTTTTCTTTTGGATTTGAGTAAGGAGAGAGGAAAAGTGGGGGGTGCAGGGCTGCTTTAATCTGTAGTAGATAGAAAATTTCTTTTCAGAAAAATTAAATGAGCAGATACAATGACACCATGTGCCTGCAGGAGATCAGATTTTTAGACACACATCAACCACAAGTGGCCTCAAATTAAATTATGCACTAGCAATAAAAAAGCATTTCACATTTAAACACCAACCAGAATTCTTGATCAGTGAACATTTAAAAATCTCTTGTTCTGCAGAGGCAAACCCAGGTGTTTGCTAGGCAGATGTAACAGAATGTTACTTCACTGGAGCAGTTTTTAACTGCTGTGATCATTTAAATATGCATTTATTTGCCTTTGGAGTGAGAAAATGAAAAGCTAAAGTAGAGTTGTTTTTTGGCCCCACTGCTAGTTATTAGCCTTCTCATCTAGGTAAACTTGGGTGGGCAACAGTGCTTTCCCTTACATTGCCTTAGCTTTCCTAAAGCTAATCATCTTCCTGGGAATCTGACTTACTTCCTTGGTCTCCCCTCTCCTGCCTCTTTCCCTTTTGTTTTTTTCTAATCATAGAATCATAGAATAGGTAGGGTTGGAAGAGACCTCCAAGATCATCAAGTCCAACCCCTGATCCAACTTCCTTGTCTCCATGTTTCATGAGGTGCAATGGGACAAGGAACATGAGTAGTACATGCATAACCCCATTGCTTTACCTTGCTGCTTGCAGCATTTCTCAATTTTAGGAAATAGTTCCTTTCACTCTTGCTGCTGGCACCTTATTTGCATAAGGACAAACTATGAAACTATGTCACCTCTCCTCTTCTGCAATACCACAGTCTGCTGATGAGCCTGAATAGTTTTAAACAGGGTTATGCTTTCTCTTGTGCCCTCTTGCAAGCTTGGTGCTCTGCCAGGCAGCTGCAGAATGGATGCACTGAATGCGGAATATTCCCTGTGCGGCAGTCCAACAGGAGCTCCGAACGGGAGGAGGCACATCCAAGCTCCACAGCTAAAGCCTGGCAAAAAGAATGATCTTCCCTGCTGCCTTGAAAATGATGGATGCACACAGAGGCTTTGCACAACTTACAGCCCTATGATCCCCCATGCTGTGCCCCGGAGCCCTGCACACGACGTAAATTGCCACACAAAGAAACACGCTCAATAGCACTGACCTGAACATTACCGAGACCAAGCAGTAATGTAAAAGGTAATGTAACTCCACTGCAAACGATCAATCTTCACTTATGGGGTGTGTTTCTATGTAGATATTTATATATTCGTATGTTGGCTTAATGGCTGGCATGTTCAAGAGGATGGCTGGAGATAATCTGGCTTGTTCTTTTTGGACAGGATTAAAAGTTTTTACATTGGTTCAGTGCTTCTTGAGAAAAGTTACTGTTTCTCCCACAGAACTCAAAAGACAGGACATTCCAGTCTAGCCAAAAATGGTGACAACAGGCCTTCTTTTGGTATTTCTGCTCTAAAAGGAGCTCTATAAAATTACATGTATTTTCTTACCGTCTAGGAATTAACCAGATCAAATATGTTTGACCTTTTGATGAGTGGAAAATGTTGGGATTTCTTTCTGTCAATTCTTAGACCTGAGAAAAAAGTTGAGGTCATATCCGGCAGGTAAGACTAAATTACATAAAAACCTATGTAGTCTAACCTCAGCAGTTCCCTTGCAAAACAAGCTATAAGAACCCTTGGCCAGTGTGAACCCAGCAGCCCACATACAATTCACCTCCACTGTGTCCTCAAGCAAGGGATATGCATTTACACTAAGTCACATACAGTAAGCTTGCTAGCAATGAGAAGGCCTACTGCTAGCAAAGGTTAGGGATCAGCACAATTTTTTTGTCTCAGTTGTGCCAGATATTCAGGTAAAATTATACTTTTCTTGGGGAAACTGCCTTATTATGCGATACCAGTGATATCTCATTTTCTGTATGCTCACTTATTCGGCCTATTAACAAATTCCATTGCAGACACAAATACTGGCATAAACAAATATTTGGTTATATTCCGCTCAGTTTTCAGAAGTTTTGTAAATCCCTCATCAGTTACAGAAAAATTAGGGTTTCCTTGTTAATAATTTATGCCAGATTCATGCGGAATACCCAGCTGTGTAGCAAGAGAAGAGACTTCATTCTCGTGCTCCAAAGCTACTGCCTTCTAGACTGCAGAAGACCCATTCTCCCTAAAGCAAGAGGTGTACAAAAACCTCAGCATGCTCTGGTCAGCTCTGGGCGTATTCAGTACAGCAGCAGAACACTCAGTTTTATTCTACAGTGAATGCATAATGCTGAAAACATACAAAAATCCTGTTCCAAAATTCACAACTACACAAATATTGTGCACGACAAAGGAATATTTTGTATTAAACAATGTACAGTATCAAACTATTCCAAAGGAATTTACTGCCAGAGAGTACATAGAAAAGAAGCATTAATTACCTCCAACTTAACAGACCAAGACAGTGACAAAATAGACCTTCGACAGGGGTAGGGGTCACATCTGCCCCAGCCACTTGATCAAATTGTCTCCCATCGTACCAACGGAAACCATTTTAATTTTTAATACTGTTGATTTCTAGACATAAATTCCTGCACAAATAGAGCATAAAAGCAGTCCCTGGGTTTCATGTGTGTATGTTTCTATACGTCCTCTAATCACACAATCACACACTACTCTTTTTTGGTGAACTTTCACTCACTCAGTGCACAGAAATACCATTGAAGATGCTGTTACTTGATCCTATGTTTTATCTTCATTGCTTCATTTGTGGCCACTTCTCCTGCATTCTATACTAATCCTGCTCTGAAGAGTAATTTATTTTCACAGGGGCATTTCTGTGGTGCCACTCAGCATAGCACTGAACTGTTTTGCAAAAACTAATTATTTTGGACAACACCTTTCTCACGTGATAGGCTCCTTTTACAAATCTTGAGTTCAGGAATAGGGAAATTAAGTCAAAATGTCCACTAGTACTGAATGTGCAAATTCAGATTGCAAGTTCTGATTACATAGAGTGCTTAGCACCTTATGGCACCTTACACTTTTGAAGTGCTGACTTAATTCCTGCTTTCAGGGCCCAGTATTGTTTTCATCCAAGCTATAGGATCTGAAGTTAGGAACTGGAACACAAGGAATGCATCATTCAGAGGTGACCTGAGGGAAAAATGATCTTAGTAACTTAGTAACCACCATAGTGTGACCCTGGGGAAGAAAGAGGGGTAGGAAGAAAATGCTTTGCTAAAGAGGTGTCCCTCCCTTGTTAGAATCCCTCACCTCATTCGCTACACAACCCACTTCAAAAAAATCGAAGTGGGCATCCTGTGTACAAGGCCGTCAATTTGAGAACAGATCCCAAACTTATTCCAGAAGCTCTTTTTTTTTTTTCTGTGCATGGCATGGGGAGAAAGTCATACAGGAGAAATAATGAGTAAAGATGTTACAAAAAATCACATCATAAAGACCAAACAGGCACGAGGTTCACTGACACTAATTTTTAACTGCTTGATTTTGGATTGTCCCCAGTTCTTTCAGATTCGTTATATAGGGAACAGCTATTTGTTTATATAAATATTGTGGTTATATAAAATATATAAATATTTGTGCTATTTATAAAATATTTAGATAGATAAATTTGTAAATACAGCCATACAAACATATAATAAACACATAAAAACACATAGCCTTCTCTGAAACTTAGACTTTCGGTGAGTTCCTTTTGATTTAAAGAGATGCTACCATATCCACTGGCATTTCTGTTTTACATTTTTTATTGAACAAATCTAGAACAGAAAACTAGATTTCCTTCAAATTCCCCTACCTGCATGATGCAAGGAAATGAAAATGCCTGTCAGCAAAAGTAATGTGTTTAATACCATGCCAGCCCTAAACATCAGTAGAGATTTCTGTGTATTGCAGATAATTCTATCACCAAGCCATATTGCTCTGTGATGTGCTTTTATCTTTGCTGTAGGATAATATCAATATTTCAAGCATGAGCAAAAGAATGTTTTATGAGATTGATGTGGGAAAATACAGTGACAAGTACATAAAAAAGGGCAGAGAAAAATGCCAGGTAGTCATCATAAATGCCTTCAATTCCCACCAGAATTTGTCTAGTTTATTCAATTTTAATCAACAAGTAGAGGTCTATTGGGGCTGCAGTGACTTTGATTACATTTTCAGTGCCAAAAAAGAACAGCAAGCAAAAGAAAAAAAGAACAGATAATGGGATGAGGAGACTGTCAGCTACATCCTAGAAGTCTAGACTTTTACAGGCCAAAATCCTATTTTGTTAAACTTTTAAATTAAATAAAAAGAAGGGATTTTTAAAAGAAGGATATAGAATGGCAAAAAAAAAAAGGGGGGGGGAGAAAAAAAATGAGCCATTTGCCATACCGCACACATGCCTGGTAAAGGCCAGATCATTCAGGGCAAAAATACTCAGGGAACAAATCCATAATGATGCCCTGAGCAGGCAGTTCAGCTGTTTGGGCACTGCTGGAACCTGATCATGGAAGTGCTCACACAAGCAGTTAACCCTGTATGGCTCTGGCTGGGTGAATTACTCACCCCTTGCCTACCTCTGCAAAGGTAGACAAGGTAGGTTTTCTGAGGAAAATCTCTTAGTTACAGATAAAATTATACCAAGAAGAAAGGTGATTTTTCCCAGTACAGCTAATTGGCTACCTGTGTCCCACACTGGTGCAAGATATAAGCTTGTTAATATAAGCTCTGCAAGTAAGTCTTCAGGCAAATCCACCAACACAGAACATTTGTCATTGTCTGGGGTTTTTTTCCCCTGGGGCTTGCAGTTTCTTCCAGTTTGACAGTACAACTGATGACTATTATTTAACCCCTTTCCACATTAGCACTGCAGCTGTTCAGCCAGACTGATTTGTTACTGTAGTTTGGTGTTAGGTACCTCAATATTTGGGTGTTAAACGGAGAACACTTACAGGCAGCTGAGTTTCAGGAAAAGAGTGATTAGCACCCTCTGCAATCAGTTTTAAAACTGTTTCAAGTCATTTAAACTGAGGTAATCAAAACTACTAGTTCTGTAAACCTTGGCTATTTTAACTGGAAGCAGAAAAAAAAAAATCTTGCAGCCCAATCTTTTCTAAATCACCCTCCAAATCTCCTGTCCCCTTATGTGCAACTCAACATGCTGTCCTGGGGACATTCAGACAGTTTTTAGTCCATCTGGAAAAGTGTTCATTTCAAAACCAATCTGCATGAAATGCCAAAAAAACTCTTAGAAAATAACTCTTCTAATAAGCACTGTACCTTTTATGATGTTACATTATTACAGACAGTAAATTCATCTGTTTCCCCAAATCCCTTAACAACTTCTTTTAAATACATAAATAAAGAGGGGGAATTCATTGGATATTATTTCACAATATGTGGATCTGAGACATTTTAATAAGAAATGCACCTTCAGGCTAAGAGGTATGAATTGTACACCAAAGGGAATGGTTTAATACACTGTTTAATGCTATAATCAAAAATGATGATAACATCATGGCTTTTACACATTTTAACATTTCTTTAGAGCTGGAAGATGTGATAGTGAGAACCATATTTGTATATTACATAAATGTCAGAAGAAACACTGAACCAGCCAGGTGACACAGATCTGATAGCATTTTTCTCCCTGACCAAAAAAATATTATCTGAACAGAGAGATCCAGAGATTTCCTCTGAGAATGACCCTTGGAGAGAATGCTTGCCTCTTCTGTATACCCCACCAGGTCATGCAGCATGACCCACAAATCCTCACATCACACCCTCTTGTTTCTACATACAGTGTGTATTTTCAAAAGCTTTGATACCTAATCAAGTATGACGTTGATAACAGCACTTGAAACAGACACAAGATGGACGGGATACTCCCATCCACCAGGGAACAAGCCATGATCAGCAGAACTCCTAAATACCCTCTTCTGGGCATGGGGATATGCAAGAGACCACGGTTTTGGAGAGGCCAACCACAGCAGCAATCTCTTGTAAGCTCTCTATGCAAGGACCTAGACAGACATCCTGAACCATAGGTAGATAGACACCTGTAAAAACACTGTGAGGATGAAAATAACTGTTTTAGGAGAAGAAAAGTGTTCCTTCCTTAGCTATAGCCTTTCTAGCAGGATGTTGCTAGGAAAAAAACCCCTGAATTACTATAGAGCCTATGATCATACAGAAATTCTTTTAGGGGCGCATCCTTACAATTTTTACAAAGAGGTATTGGAGGCCAGTAACTTCAAGATGGTGGCCCCCTTCAAATGGCAGCAGCCCACTGCAAGCCACCCAAGTCTTGATGTCTTTCTCTTTCCCAAAATGTAGAAGGGGAGGAATGGTATTTTTTGGAAGCAATCCTGGATCCCCCTAGGGAGATACCTCTGCACAAGCCCACAACTGGAATACTAGAAAGATTTTGACTCTCATGGTCTTGAGTGTAGCAATGGATGTTTGGAAAGAGTCCTGCCAAAGATGGACTGATGAAGCAGAAGTTTTTAATGTTGTTTAAACTCATGTTAAGAGGGCTCTTTACAGAGCCACTGCGTTTTCCCCTATACCTCCACTGTAAATCCCTTATCTCTCGGGCCAGAGTGTCCTGGAAGATGTTCCAAGGTGTTTCCATTGGTCCCTTGTTAACCCCTCCCTTATTGGCTGTAAACCCCTTACCTTGATTGTGACCCCTCACCTGTGATTGGTCCCCAAGGGCTATATAAGCCCCCTCCCACAATTAAACCCTCTCTTTCATCCTCTCTCCCCTGGTGGTCTGGTGAGTGCTCCGTCTTGGGGTCCAGGGGCCACGTGGTGGGGGGCAGGGTGGAAGAGCATACTCCTTCCAGGTTATGGACTGAAACGAGGCCTGAAGGATCCCCCCTTCCCAAACATCCACCGTTACTTGAGGATGGGAAGATTGTCAGGTCTCATGGGAATTTCCATGAATAAGTACAGGACTTAACTCCTGAAGCATTGACTGTACAAGGGGAAGCTGAGGAAGTGATGTTGCACTGGCTTTAATCAGTCCAAAATGTCTTATTTTTGTGTTCTCAGAACCCCACCAGGCTTGTGATAGTAGGACCCTATCTACTCACACAATATATATCCATTTAATATATTCCTATGGATTCAGAATGACCAAGTGGTTCTAAGTCTTCGAGATACTGTTCCAAAAAGAGTGATTTTGGACTTGTAAAATGCCATGTAAAAGTAAAGTTAGTCTTTCAGTGTTCTGTAGCCAGTCTGAGCTAAATTGTGCAAGCTGTAGCAAAAAGTATTAGCTTGTACATAAATGTTTTCTCTTGTTTTTTTTATTTTTCCAGTGAATGGGAAGTCCCTAGGGTCCTGTTAACAGAGACCAGTAAAGACTGTCGCGCTTGTCAATAGAAACAGGTTTTACACCTAACAATAAAATATTTTGGCACTTTCTAATGTGTATTTGCTCTTAGCTCTATTCCCCTTAAGAGAGATGCTGGCACTTTTACACATTTGCTGGGGATGGGGAACATCTGAAGCCACTCTGTGCTCACTTTTTGGAGGACAGGGACTTGTCTCATTCCATGGTACACCATTACCTTCTTATGCAGTTAGCACCTCCAAATAGTCAGGCAACATTTTCCAAGACATTGTTTGGATTTATCAAGCGTATAGGACAACTTCCAGATTTCTCTTATGCTGGTTTCCCTTCTCCTCCCAATCAAGACCTCTGTTTCCCATGGCAATAGAAAAAATCTAGGCTAAGATGGAATGGGAGAGCACAGGTGACAGAAATTTCCAAGAGGGAGCATATGCCTGATATAAGTTCTCTTGAAGACCAAACACATAGCTCATATGTGGCTACTGACCTAAAGTGTGTGAATTTCCCTTTCCTTTTCCTAGGGAGCATGCTTTCTATGTGGCAGAAGTAAAAGAGCAGTTTTTCCAGCTTGGAGTTGAAGGTTGGAGCCTTATCCTTTTCATAGCTTCATCTCTTTTCATAAGTGTAAGAGTCCTGACCAAGTGTTTTTATATCAAGATATGTTTGGTGACAAGGTCAGGAAAGTCTAGCCCAAGGTAATGTTAAATCTTAGCATAAGGATGAAGAAAAAAAAACGTTCAGGATTTTAGGCAGTGTTTTTTTAAAAAAGTACTAGTTCTAGTTCTGAAGTACATGTGTGTGGAGGGGCAGAAAGAGAATTACATAGGTAATCAATCTGAGTTTCTGAGCTGCTCTATCCTCCTCTTGCTTCCCTTTCCACACACCTCAGCCCTTCTCCCAGTGCTCCTATGAGTTCTTAGATCTGGGTTTGACCAGCATTTACTTAAATGTTTGTACAAACACATCTATATATATTTACTTCAATATAAGTATTTCCATGGGCTTTACAGAGGTAGGGTTGTTTTTTTCCCAAGTATGGAAACAGCACATTCAGTAATTCTTTACCTAAATAAGAATTAGCTGGAATATTGATATAAACCAGCCTTAACTCAGTGTCCAAAGACAGCACACTATCTGCATTTAAAGCTGCTTCAGGAAATTAAGATCTTAAGCTTATAAATACAATTAATTTGTCGTAGCTGTGATAGGCTTTCCTCTTCAACTTGTTTGTAGCTTTTAAAAACTAAAAAACCAAATAACATATTATTATTTCCTAGCTGGGTGCTATGAGCACTGCATCAAAACAGCAAATTTCACAGGGTGAGGGCAGGTGGCTTTGGTTGGTTTTGCATTTTTAAAAAAACAAACAAAAAGTTGATTTTGGACTTAAATCTATAAATACAATTAAGAACTGCACTTGTGGATTCTCTTTGAGTGCTGACCAAGCTAAGCACTGCTCCTCAGCTCTGCACTGCTGCTCTGCCATTATGTCTCAACTGATCTCGAACTCTTCCATCTGTGAGTTATTCATTGCCTCTCCTCATGTTCGTCTGCTGGCTATTTATACATCACACTCTACTATCACAGCATTCACTAGTTTCTCTGAAAGAGGATCTAAATTTGCAGAATAAAATGCTGAAGTTGCACAAACACTCCTTACACTGGGAAAAAAAACATAATTCCCATCTCAGAAACAGCAGAGTTACTGTGGATATTTGAAGTATTTCCACTTGGAGCTATTCTAAATACTGCCATTTGATGCGGCCATTTTGGACTTTTAGCAGGCATAAGGGCACAAACCAGCTTACTGAGAATCATTTGCACATATGCTGATAAAGTCCTGGCTTGCAATATACTGAAAAAGCAATCACCAGTAGGCAGTTTAGCTTCCCGCAGCTACAGAAAGCCTCTGCCTAAGTGACTGGAGGCTGAAAATCCCTAGGTATCTTATAGCCCTACTCTATCAGAAATAAGCCCTTGGGACCAGATCCTCAGGTATATGTGCTCCTACTCTCATTGCCTTTGGGAAATCTTTCTAATTTATACTAGCTGAGGAATCAGCCTTTATATATGTAGTCTCCATAATTCTTTTCCTACGATGCCTCTAATAAAATGAGAAATATAGAAACTGAAAGGGTATGAGAGCGTGAAAAGGAAGCGAGTTCCTGCTTTGTCTCATACCAGTAAGAACCTGAAAAAGGCAGAGCTTGGAACAGTGGCTTCAGATCCACCCTGATAAACAGAGCAAAACCTGGCCAAGGCAATGTCCAGAATTATGAGCACAACTCTTGCTCCATTTTTCTTATGTCTGCTATGCTTTCTTCCTGACCTTGGGTAAGTTGATTAACCTTTCTTTTCTAAGTTTCTCTAACTGTAGTATGACTCTGTACCTCCCGTAGAGGTTGTGATGCTTAATTGGCCAATATCTCTCAAATACTTGAAGTGCTTCGGATGAAATATGTTGTGCAAGAGAAATAATTGAAGTCAATGGGGCTGTGACAACTGACACTAACTGAGGAACTTTCCCCTGGTGTTTAATAGGATCAGAAGGAGGCTTAGTTAAAATGACAGGAAGCCAAAGAGGCATTTGGTGTTAATAAGACCATAAATGAGTCAAAGGGGTTACTATTTGCTGTGGTAATACCCAGAATTTTTCATCTTCCAAGCACTCTATCAGCATCTATTAATTCTCAGACCTCCACTTAAACAGAGATCTGTAATACGTCCCCCATTACACAGATAAGAAAAATCAGACAGATGAGTGATGTGACTTAACCACAGAACAAGATGTGAGAAATCAAATTTGAGCCTCTGGCTCCTAAGCCTATTCTCAGAGCTCCCTTTCTGCCACTCTTCTGTTGTGTATATATTTCCTTATCTTTCTGTTTCAATTATGAAAGCCCATCTCCTGATCCTTTTTCTCTAAGCACCCTGCCTAATTCCCTGTTAGATACTGCTAGATGCTCTTCCATAAACTTCTCAAAGCTTTCAGACAGAAAGCGGAGCTGGGGGGAATGTTGCTGGGCTGAGCAGCTCTCCTTGTCTCTACAGCCCCTTTTCCCAAGTGCTGAAAAAGATATGAGTATTTGCCCTTCCAAGTATTTTTCATTGCTCACTACCAATTCCCCACAGCACCTGGCTGCTGCACTGTAACCTCTCCTCTCAGAATCAGTTCATATTAGAGTATGCTGGGACAGGGTCTGTCACTTCAGACTGACTACTGTTCATTGCAGGAGGAAATTCATGACCTGCTTAAGCCCCTAAGGAAAATAATTGCTGTTACTTCAGCTCTTGAAGATGCCTGCCATTAGAAGATGCAAGGCTGAGGTCATGAAAGTGTGGTGGCCAAATCCAGCTGTTCCAGGAAGTCCAACAACAGCTGCTCTGCTCTGCTCCTAACCCTCCTCTGTAATGGGTACCAGGCCAAGCTTTTGGGTGCTCAATCTGAATAACAGCCTCAAGACAAGTCCCCACAGACTAGTTTCTATGTAGAAGGAATATATGAACTTGAATCAGTACCCTACTTGGAAATACAAAAGTATAATAGTGTGGGGGGATGCTGCTGTGCTGAAGTGTCCCAGCAGATGGAAGTGTAACATGAAATGGGACAAATTATTCAACTGTTATAATGTCATAAATCTATAAATTTGCAACAATCCCAGGGAACAGAGTTTATTCTATAAAAAAGACTTCCACTGCTGCTTAGAACAACTATGTCACAGCAATATTTGGGGTAACAACTTTTGTACTCTTGTATGGTAGGGCTTTCTCTTTTTTCTTTTCCTTTCTTTTACTTTTCTTTTCTTTTCCTTTTTCCAAGTTGTTTACCCTAGATTTACACTCCTAGTTCAGAAAGCAGAGGTTTGGCTACATTATCTCTACTTAAACTATAGCCCAAAATGGGACAAAAGAGAAAATATAAAACACTACCCAATAAAACCTCAGCACTAACTTGTGATCACATCACAATGAGACACATTTGCACATGTTATTTCCTGGCTGCCTAGAGTAGTCTTGGAACAAGAGAAACAGCCTGTTTTTCCCCTTCAAAAAAACCCAAATAAGAGCATTTTAATTACCATAATAATACAAATTTTGGTTCAGATAAAATTTGAAGGAATAAGGAAGTAAACTGGGTATGTGTGCCTAGATAAGAATTTCCTTTTCTTTTTTTTTTACAGAACAGAAAGGTAAAGAAGGATGGATATTTGCCCTTGATGACACTTGAGTGCTTTGACAGTGACATAACACTTCACATGCATCTCTATTTTATATATTGAAGAGAGACAGCTCATCAGATACACAAACTATAAACTGTAAATTCTTCCTATCCAGATGAGATGTCTGTTACACTCACCCCAAAAAAATTATATGAAAAAAATATTATTTCTGTCCTCTTCTGTGCTCTTTGCTTATTAAAATGTAAAATTTGAGACATTTGAATGAGATGTTAGGTTCTTAACACACTAAATATCTTTTGTTACAACAAAGTGAACTCCCTAAAAATTTTAACTCAAAGCCAACAGGAAAGGTTCAGCTGGAAGGGACTTTGACACTGACTCCCTGTATAACCTTAAGGAAATCTCTTTTTTCTTGTGTTCCTCCACTGGGAGCTATTAGAGTCAATTCATTAATGTGCACAAATGTGATTTAAGACCATCAGATTAAAGGAAAACCACTGTCATCATAGATTTATATTAAATTATCTTAATAAAGTGAATACTATGCTGTCTTTAGTTACAAAGTTAAAAAAAAAGGTAGGAAGGCAGAGTCACACTATCCAATAACTAACACAGCAGGGAGATCTGTGACAGGAGATGGACAGTTTCACAACAACTAAAACTTCAGAGGCTTTCTGCAAAACTACAGGTGAAAGCAATGACATGTTTCATTTAGAGGCTTTCTAATACTGTTTGTCTGGGAAAAAAAAAAAACAAACAAAAAAACAGAAGAGAAAGAAGGTAGCAATTACTGTTGGGGAAAACATAAAAGATGACTGCTGTGTGTGTGCCAGGCATTGGGGAAAATTACTACTTTGTCTTTAGCAGAGAGATGACATTATCCCTGCAGCCAAACAGAAGCTACACTGTAAATGCAAAGTCCAGATATATTCAACAAGAAGAGGTGAGAAATCCAACTGGATTAGAAACAGAGCCATTCACAAGCTAATTTGAATAAAGAAGTTTTGCTAACAGTCTAGGCTGCATACAGCAGTTTACCAGTCACTTAGAAGAGGTGGTGGTACCATCCCCATTTTGGAAGCTCTAGTAGGTTAGTGATGGGAACCACCCAGGATGACGAGGGGAAGCTGAGTGGTCACAAGCACAAGAGAGATAGTTGGCACTGGGCTTTTTGCATGTATTTAAATGAATGACAGCCCTGTGCTGCCAAATGGAGAGACTGTACTTTCCTGTTTGGGAATAGATTCCAGGATTGGAATGGTCTACAATGACCCAGTGGGCATATTCCAAATAAAATGATGGCTTATTGGGTATGTGAGCTTTTCACATTTATGCCTGGATTTCTCTATATGACTGCTGGCTTGGAGGGAAAGACCCAAAGAGTCAAAAAAAAAAATAAAAAACAGCACAAAAGCCCAAGGGAAATGGGGCAAAACTGTAATGAGAAAAAGGAATAAATAAATGGGAAGTGGTATGTAAGCAGCACTTAAGTCTGTGTGAGGTTAATACTAACCATTTACTCCAAGCTAAATAAATGCTGCCTGGGGACTGAGATTAGAGCAGGCAGCTCAGGGGAGGCAGCAGCTTCTCAAAGCTGGAGCCAGGAGGAAGCTCTGGGAGCTCAGCAGTCTGGTGCACATTTTTGAGCATTAGCCCCATCTGACCAAAGGGAATATGATGTTCACAATAAGGGTGAAAACTCTCCATGCCCCTACTATGTCTATCTAATGCAGTGCCATCATGCTGCCAGCCTGTGCAGAGATGTAATGTCATTCTGTCATATTACCATCACAGAGTCTCAGAGCAACTGGAGATGTCATGAGCCCTGTCCAAACTGAACACCTTGTGTAGACAACAGCTTGGAATGCCTCCTTCCCAATTCAGAGACAAATAAGCAGACAGTCAAATGCAGATCAAAATCCTCTTTTGAATACTCTGCCTCTTGTAATAGTTCTGCTTTTTCAGAAGCAGGTTTTGGATAAAACTGCTCAGGCACAGCCTTCAGTCAGAAGTAGGAGCCAAATTATTAATTTACTTCTTCTGATTCTAATTACATTCTACCTCCAGACATGTAATCAGGCTTTTATTCACCTAACTGCTTTATTCTCTAACAAGCAATTCATCTGAAGAGGTTTTCCTGCAGGATTTTCACTGTAAGGATCTTTTTTTTGTGTTAGAGAAGGAATTCACTGTTTCAGTGCAACACTTTTGCTCATTAAAAATAATTTCTCAGTGAGTTTAGTTGCAGTAGCTCTTCAGTCATATTAGAGACCCTGTTGCAGCATTAGTTCCAGAGAACGTGCTAAAGATCAGCAGGGAAAATGAAAGGGAAAGAAGAAAACAAGAGGCTGGAAGGACAAGAGAGATTGCTGCAAATTATAAGCAAGCCCAGACATGCTGGTGCTCACTGGGGTACTGATTCATCCAGCCCTCTGAAATGTGTTTGACCATAAAGTCAGTTTGTACCCTCAAAGGAATTTCTCACCTACTCACAAATACAGTTCTCTATGTATTTTCTCTCTTGCCTCACTCTCTTCCTGGCTCCCTTCCCCTTTACATCATCCCTGGCTTTTTACCTTTACTATCACGTCTTCTGTGCTCACTAGAGATGCTTTGAAGCTTGCTTTCACAACATAGACTCATTCCAATCTTTAGGGAAATGTGCTACAGAAAGAGCAGGGAAATGTGCTACAGAGAGAGCCTGTAGTTTATATCAGCAAATTCGCTAACACAAGCACATCGCCCCAGAGAGATGGCATGTTCAGCTGCCAGTGAGTTTACTGCAGTTCCTTTGCTTTTGGAGCAGACAACTCCCTCCTCAGGAAGTTTTGTGTGTGTATGTGTTTTGTGGGGCAGCTCTGCAGCAGCCTGTTCTGTTACAGTATGTAATATAAATTGACAACTTTCAGTGTAGCTCCTGGTTTTCAACTAAGTAAGAGAACTGGCACAGTCTGGAGATGAAGAAAGATTATGTCAAGACACAAAGCATGTTAATCTCCCTTCTTCTGACTTAAGCACAGGCACCAGTCAATGATTATTTCTAATATACCACGTAAATAATGACTCACATTATTCAGTGAAGCATCAGCTTAGACAAATACAGAAAGTAGCAGTATACTACTTTTCATTCAGTGGGCCAATTTTACCTCCAAGGTAAGTCAAAAGCCTTCCTGAAGCTCTTAATCAGTTGAATACAGCTTTGTTTTAATAAAATCAACATAGAGTTCCCTTAGTGTAAAAGTGCTAATCACTGCAGGCGATTCATGATTGTACAATGACATCTACTTTTCTTTAAGCAGCAGAACAACAAGGAGTGTGGTAGCCTCCTGGACACAGGAAAAATAATGTGACTCTTCAGCCTAAGGGAACATACTAAAAGATCAAACAAGAAACTGCTGTATTTGTTTAGAGAGGGAATATTGCTCTAACCTAAAGAGTCAATATGCCAGAAACCACCCTGCCTGAGGTGAAACAAGAGACATAAAGCTACTGGGAGTGTTCTGCCGGGGGACAACCAGTGCTGCAGAAGGAATTAACTAGTTGCAATTTTCTAGACCTTTTCCATCTTTAGTCTTATTGAAAAGAGCTGTCATGGTCATTGTGGCCATGTAATCTCCTAGGAAGACAAGGGAACATAAATTTGGGCCTCCAGGCTTCAGAGGGTCATGTCAGTGTTAACTACTGACTTCTTTGTACCTCTGCTGCATCTCAGGAGTCCTTTGATTCACTTCTAGCTTCCTGCTTCTGGCACTGGTAGGTGAGAAATGGCCCTTCTACCTGCTTTTAAGCCCTGGGAAAATTCTGCAGTCTGTTTTATCTCTATTATCTGTTCAGCTGGTGTAATTGGGTTGTTTCAGGATGGATGAAGCCAGAACTGAGAAATAGGTTTCCATGAGTTACTAAAAGGAGAAAATGTAAACAAAATCTAAGACTTGAAGTTAAAATCTTAGACACTTCTCTCTCTTCCAAAATCTCATCTGTAACACGTCAGCAAAACAGATGGTGTAGGAGTACAGAAACATATTGAGAGACTGTCTATCCTCCTCAGAGTGGTCCAAAGGTGATGATGATAATGCCTAGAGAGCATCTTTCACCAAGAAGGGGAAGAAGTAGTTTTTCCATTCAACAAAAGATGGAATTTAAGCAAAGAGAATGTGAAATGAGGAGGCCAGCTTCAAACAGCAGAGGCTGAACTGAACTTATAAACAGATTTTCTAGATGTCAGGCTAGTACCCTCTCCCAGAAGGTGTGCTTTATAAAGCACTTAAAAGAAAAATCGGGAAGCGGTTACACAGAAAAAACAACCCCACAGAACTG